GGGGGGGGGAGGTGCCGGGAGGGTGGCGCCGGCCACATATGGTGCCACTGTAACGCACACTTCAGCGGCGTGATCGATACAACCAACTCTGCGGCAGCGGCGGCGGGACAGGCTATACCGCCCGGCACACCAGGCCCACCCGCTTTGCGGCCCAAAATACAGATGCAACGCTCCGCATTTTTATTTTTTATTTTTACTTCATTGTGTTTTTCCAAAACAACCGCATGAAACGCGCGCAGCCGATCTGCCACACCAAACCGCACACACATATACACACACTGCTGCACACACAGGTCATTGCGTTAATTCCCTTATTTGGCCTTTCGCACGAACACACTTTACACCAACGACATTTTCGTTTCGCTTTCATTCTTCGTCACACTAGACGTACTCGCTGTTCAGCAGCGCGTCGTGTGTTATGTGCTTGTGCGCTCTTTTACTCATTCACGGCTGTTCATTCATTCGCGGTCCGCAAGCGTGCGAGCGTGCGTGCGTACCACGGTGGAGGGAGAAACGGTGGGGGCACGAGGGCCTCCCAGCATAGGGACCCGTGGGTCCAAAATCTCGACAGGTTGGGGGATTAACGGCCGAGTCGGGGCTATCTAACGTGCCGGTACGGAGTACCTTCAGTCGGGGCGGCCTATGCAGGTAGCTGGGCCGCCCCGACTTAGCTTAAGCGGCACCGACCCTCGCCCGGGCCCGCTCGGCCGGAGTGTGCGAGAGAGAAGTCAGGTATGAGCCCGTCCCGCGCAAGCTGAGTCTGGGCTTCCCACCTACCTACCTGCACGGCGGCCCCGACTGAAGGTAGTGTGAACGCGCCCTACAGTTGGCCCCGACCAGGGCGTTAATCCCCCAACCTGTCGAGATTCTGGACCCACGAGCAGGGCCCTCGTGCCCCCACCGTATCTCCCTCCACCGTGGTGCGTACGGAGTGGCCGGTGGACAGGTGGCCCACAGGTGCACAGGTGACGACACTAAGGGTGGGGCGGGCGGCTGAAGTGGCAGGTTGAGAGGGGAGGCAGTCGTGCGTGTCGACCGAGCCGACCATCACACCAGCAGCAGCAGCAGCCTAGTCACGCATATACATCAATATGACGACTTACTTTTATTCCGCGGCAGACTTTTTAAATATCAGTATTTATTTCGCTTTCACATTTTTTTTACTAACCCGCCTGCTTGGCTGTTTTGCATACTTTGCACTCTGCACTTAAGCTGGTCGCGACACTGGCCAAAATAAAGAAGAGGCGAGGAGAGCAGGAGGGGGGAAAGAGGGAGGCTAGAGGGGCTAGTGTCTGAGGGGAGAGAGGGAGAGAGAGAAAGAGAGAGAGAGAAAGAGAGAGAGAGAGAGAGAGAGAGAGAGAGAGAGAGAGAGAGAG